GAGCTTAAGCTCATGCCTTCTTGTCTCACAGAGAGCTGCCTGGGAGAAGAGACCGACCCCCACCTGGCTACAACCTCCTGTCAGGGAGTTGTAGAGTGTGATGAGGTCACCCCTGAGCCTCCTCTTCTCCAGATTAAACAACCCCAGCTCCCTCAGCCTCTCCTCACTGGACTTGTGTTTGAGTCCCTTCCCCAGCCTCGTTGCTCTTCTCTGGACCCGCTCCAGCACCTCAATGTCCTTCCTGAACTGAGGGGCCCAGAGCTGAACACAATACTCAAGGTGTGGCCTCACCAGAGCTGAGTACAGGGGAAGGATCACTGCCCTGCTCCTGCTGCCACACTGTTCTTGATGCAGGCCAGGATGCCATTGGCCTTCTTGGCCACCTGGGCACACTGCTGGCTCATGTTCAGCCTCCTGTCCATCAGCACCCCCAGGTCCCTTTCTGCCTGGCTGCTCTCCAGCCACTCTGTGCCCAGCCTGTAGCGCTGCAGGGGGTTGTTGTGGCCAAAGGGCACTTGGCCTGGTTGAACCTCATCCCACTGGAATCAGCCCATGGATCCAGCTTGTCCAGTTCCCTTCTCTCTCCATGGAGATCCTTCTCTCCACGCGTGTTCTTTTCAAGGAAAACAAGGATATTTCCAAGGAAAATCTCAACCTAAACTGCTCCTATTTTTCCCTGCATGACACAGAAAGCATTCCAAAGCTCCTACTCAGCCAAGAAAGATGTGGATGGTCAGAATTCCCCACAGCTTCGTGTACAGCAGCACGTGGCAGACCCTGCGACTGGAAATGCCACCGGCGGCGCCAAATCTGCCACCAATTCACGAGATGCCGAATGCCAAACGTGCAAAAGCAGCTTCCTCTTGCCGGGATCAGGTCTGGGATTTGTTACTTCTGTTGCACAGATTGTCACTGGAAGTGGTTCTGAGCGGTGGCTTCTCTCAGCACTCGCAGTGCACCTGCATCGGGCGGTGCTGAAAATCAACACGAGACACGCTGAATAATTCAGAGTTCTTTGAGTGGGTAGGAAGATGAGTGCGCTGAAAATAACTTGTTTTTCGGGAAGAAGTTTGTTCTTTTCGTAAAATATATATATATATATCAAGCTTGAACTTTTTATTATGAAATACAAAATTTCAGGTGAAACATTTCTGCTAGAAATCACAAATTTTTTTTTATTTTTTTTTTTTTTTTACTTTACAAAGTCCATGTGCTGGATCTGCTCTGCTGACAAGTTGCCTTGATAAAGTGCATTTCCCGTGGTCCTTATCCACTCTATCCCTGAGGAAAAAACACTGTTCAACACGAATACCACCATTGCTGTGGCACAAGTCATTTGGTGCAAACTCAGCCCACAAGTAGAACAGAGACATAAAACATTCAAGCAACAACTCTTCGGAGTCAAGAGTTTCAAATCTACATTTTCCAGCTCGAGATTTTTCAATTTCAATTTAAAAAAGGATTTTTTTTTTATTGCATATGGATGATTGGGTTTTATTTCAGGATGGAACACTGGATTTAAGGCAAATACCTTTTAGAAAGTAACTTACTGAAAGGGAACAAATTAATTTATGAGCCTAAGGTGGTTTTGTTAGAAATTTTGAAACTGTCCTCACCAAAACTCCCCTTGATTTTATTACAGAACAGGAACTGAAAAATGCTGTTGATCCAGAAGGTCAAGATGCTCAGCTGTACATAAAGCACATTAAAAAGCAGTTGATATTGTATTAACCATTACTATTATTATTATTATTATCAACCAGTTCTTCTGGACTCATAAATGTCTTACAGTTCCAGTCCTTGATCTTGCTGTAACATCAGATTTTTGTCTGACAGGGGTTTTGCTGATTTCCTTGGGACCCAAAGCACAGACTCCTCCTTTTGTCCAATCCCATCAAATTCCTTGTCTCTGAACTTCAGGCTGTCCACTTATGTCATTTATGTCCATTTATGTCATTTATGTCCATTATTCTGCTGAGATCTAATGTGCTACTTTATAAAGGTTGCAATTTTATTTCATTACACGAGGAAAAAAAAAATAAAAATAACTTATAGCTTAAACTGAGAGAAGTGGTTTTAACATTTCCCTGATGCAGAAATGAAAAAAAAAAAAAAAAAAAAAAAGGAAAATATCCTGGAAAAGTCCATCCTACACCAGGGTCACGTTCCTGATTTTCTTGGGGCTGATCAGGTAATCAGGACGTCTTTGGGGTCGCACCTATGGGAGAGCAAAAGCAGTTAGAGAACTCAAAGCAGTCCTAGAAGAGCTGTCCCACCAGGGTTCTCAGGAGGTTGCCTGCCAAAGCCTCACCCCAAAATGAAATCTTTCATCAGCAACCCACTCAGAATCTAAACACAAAGGGAGAGGATGAGCAGCAGAACGAAACAAAAGCTTCACGTGGCAGCTCTGGGAATTCATTAACTGATCTGGTGCCACCTGAGAACTTCTTGTGGCCTCTGAAGTCTGGATTCTTTCAAGGAAAAAAAAGATTTTGGGTGTTTCTCCTTTGGCTCTCTTAAGGAAAATACCTCTTTCAAAGGAAAACCTGAACGTTGCTTCCCAAATCCATCAGGACTCGCAGCAATGAGCCCACCAGCTTCTCACGTGCCCCAAAAATCACTCCCAACATCTCAGTGTTTATTCAAGGCAGGCTTTTCTTTAAACTTCCCATGACTGGCAGGATTGTGCTTTCCCTGACAGCAGCCTGTTTCCAGGCTGACCCCCCCTTCAGCAGCTTTGCAAAGTCTGTCCTCATTTCTAGCCCTAATTACTCCTAATTTACCTCCAAAATGCCACGGCAGAGAGGAAGGACAAGGAAAAACTCATTCTCAGGTGCACCCGAGTAACACACACTCTGGATATTCAAATGTAACCTCACACAGATGATTATGAAGCAGCTCTGAGGGACGAAAATTTATTCCAGAATTATAAAACATGTCTTTTCACATGGTTCCCTAAATGAAACGCTGCAGCTGAACGGTTTGCTCTGTCCAGCCCTGGTGTTGGTTTAATCTGCCCCCAAGCAGGTGCCGCCTTCTGGCTGCCCTTCCCTGCAATTCCTCACCTGGTCTCAAACCTTTGGAAATTAACGGGAATTCCACTGTTTTCCCCAGTTTTTTTATCGAGCCAAAAGTGGTTCTTTAACTACTGACCCATCTTCTTGTGGCTTTTTTTTTTTTTTATTTTTATTTCTGGAGCATTAATCCTGTGCAGTCTCCATTGCCTTGGTATTCTTCCAGTATTAAGTATCTTCAATAATGCATTTGGTACATATACATTATTGAAGAGGCCACGGAGGGAAAAACGTTGGATAACAAATGTGGACAACATGTCTCTGGTATTTAATGAGTCCCAGCACCTCAAGGAAAACTGTGGGATAAATATAGCTATCCTAGAAACATTTCACAAGACAGTTGCCTTCTGTTTAGAACACAACTCTCTTTTCTCCTCCCTCCCCATCCCTTTTGTCGCTAGAACAGGCTGCTGTTTTCTAAATTTACCCTTCTTTACTGTTTATTTTTGCAGAGAGAGCAGAGGTGCTCTGGGAAGTAGCAGGATTGCCTGGCTCTGCTCAGGAGACCTTTCCCAAGATCTCTCTGTTGCACTTGATTTCTTGCAGTTGAGGCCGGGCTGGTGCTGAGCAGAGACATCACTCTCTCATTTCCAGGGCACAGCAGAACCTCCCCGTGGTCTGGGTGACCCCTCAGGTTAATGTGTGATGAGATTTGCTCCATTTCTGGCAGAACAGGCATTTCCTGATTGAAGCAAATACTCCCAGATATTGTGGACTGTGGGTATAAAGGATACTGAACTACCAGTGTACTGAGCAACCAGAAAGTTTCAGAGGGGGACCAAGAGCAAACTGTGTCTAAAACTGCCTGAAATATGTCATTCTTTCAATCCCATGCTTAGCAAATTAGCGGGGTGGGAATATTTCCCAGAACCTGTTGCCCGAAAATACTGTATTGCGCCCATATTTACTACAGGGAAAAAAGCCATTAATCAGAAAGTTCCCCGAGCAGTGCTGTGGAAAGGGGAAGGAGATTTAGGGAGAGGATTCTGCCCCTCTGCTCCACTCAGGTGAGACCCCCCTGCAGAGCTGCTCCAGCCCTGGGAACAGCACAGGGAGCACATGGAGCTGCTGGAGAGAGGACAGAGGAGGCACCAAGAGGATCCCAGGGCTGGAGCAGCTCTGCTGGGAGGAAAGGCTGGCACAGCTGGGATTGTTCAGCTGGACAAGAGAAGCTTTGGGGGGACCTGAGTGTGGCCTTGCAGGGCCTGAAGGAGCTCCAGGAAAGATGGAGAGAGACTATTTCCAAGGGCCTGGAGTGACAGGACAAGGGGGAATGGCTTCCAACTGACAGAGGATAGGGTTAGATGGGATATTGGGAAGAAATTCTTCCCTGTGAGGGTGGGGAGGCCCTGGCCCAGGTTGCCCAGAGAAGCTGTGGCTGCCCCTGGATCCCTGGAAGTGTCCAAGGCCAGGTTGGACGGGGCTTGGAGCAACCTGGGCTAGTGGAAGATGTCCCTGCCCATGGCAGGGGGTTGGAACAAGATGATGTTTAATACCTTCGATCCCAAACCATTCTGTGATTCTCTGATTTCTATTTCCATACGATTCTGAATAGCAGAGCCAGAGGATGTTCACCAGCTGGATCTCGGCTGCTCTGTGACATCACTGGTAAAAATATTACCCCAATATGCCTCTTTTCCTTTAAAAATCTCATTAGCAACAATGAACCTTCCAGCCCCTGCCTTGTCCTGCCACTTCTCCTCCTCAGCAGAGGAGGAACCAAGCAGTGACTTTGTTCCTGGGGTGGGGGACGGTGCCTGTGACGTTTCACCTCTGCCCTGCTGCATCTTTCACAGTTATTTCCTTCAGAGCAAATGCCCTGGGTTACTTCTACTTCACTCTTACTGTGCTCTGATATCAATTAATGAATAATTTCATGAATTTCAGTCGGCCCATGCTGTGTGCTGGCCCATTTTCTGCAGAGC